CACTATTGCGTGTGCCACTTAGGCGCGAAGTTTTCCGCCTACGCGCAGCCGGCCTCATAATACGCGTGTCGTGCACGCACTGATCGCACCTTGCCCGCACCGCGCATGGGTGTACGTGGATGACCTGCTCGCCCTGCTCGCCAAAAGCCATCTCATAGTTGCCCTTCTAAGCGCCATAGCATGCCCGATTAGCTGGCGCAAAGCACAGCTAGGCCCCGTCATTGCCTGGTGTGGCTGAACGTTTAATTTCGACATCGAGACAGTGCTCTGGCCAACAGCAAGCTGGCTAAGCTCCGCATGCAGCTGCAGGCGCTGACACGGTCATGCAAGATCCTTCGAAACAAGCTCGAGGCGCTGCTCGGCCTTCTCACGTGGGCGACTTCGCTGTGCCAGCACCTGCGAGCCTGGCTCGCCCCACTTTACCGCGGCCTGCGCAGCTCGGCAGGCACCCTCAAGCAGGTCCATGCGGCGCAGTGGCATGACTTTCTTGACGCCTTAGATGAGTCAGCCAAGGTTTGCAAGCAGCCAGCCGGCCTATGGTTGCCAATGCATGCACGCATCATTGAAGTGGGCCCAACCAAAGTGCACAGCAAGCAGGACATATCGCCGATATGCCACTCCCACAAGCCGACTTGGATTCGTGTCTCTGACCCGCTCAGGTCAGAGATTCACCTCACAAACACCAGCTGTGAGGTGTTGCAATGGTTGCACGCACACAATCGCACGCGCAGCCTGCGCCAGGTAACCCTACTGCCGTGCTACGCAGCGGCCGACGCCATGGCAGGGGGCGAGCAGGTAGGCATTGGAGGCTGGATTTGCACCAGCACGTGCTTCGCATGGTTCGCAGAGCGATGGACCTGCTTCGACACAGTGGCGCAGCATGCACTGGCTATGACGGCCAAGCATGCCATGCCGGTCACGCAGTGGCCCATCCAGCTTCCCGCGGCTTCCGACAACACGACCGCTGAGGCCACCGCCAATAAGTGCTTCACTATATCCACTTGCCAGCTTCGTCCGCAGGCTCGCAACCTGGGCAGCTAAGGAGCACGTGAGCCTGCTCGTCACGCACGTGGCGGGCGAAAAGAATGACTGGCTGACGAGCTCAGCCGCAACAAGTTGCGCCTCGTGCGTAACCTCATGCATCGCAGAGTCCGCTTTGACCTCAGCTCAGTCGTCACACTGGGCACAGACCCTTTTGGAGGTAGGCGCTGGATAGGAAAAGAGTTGGCCCGCATGCGTGCCAACCACAGCATTTTTTGCATCTCTGCTCGCCCAGCTCTACTTTGCATTGCCTTGCCCGCAGGTACTTCCGACGCAAGCCCTGAAGCGGTGGGGGTTTCTGGGACTCCAAGTCAGGTCATGCTTCGGAAACTGAAGTGGGGGTTACGAGCATAGCTCGCCCCGCCTGCCTCGCCTGGCGTTTCGGCCCGGCAGGGCTCGCTTGCACATCCGAAGCATTTCCTGACAACAGTGCGCGCCTGTGTCTGCGTTGCACCTTTT